AAAGGCTGGGATGCTGTCCTGGTTTGCCTCAGCAGGGAATCTGCATGTTGTTTAAATGGGCAAAGCAGAGTATGGTCCTCCTTGTGACAGCATGGTTTCACATCACAGTCTGTGTGTAACCTTTTCTTTTGTGATACAGGGTCAACTTTCCTATGTTGCTAAATGACCCTAGTCAAGCTGATGTTGCTTAGTGTTGTAAAAACATAATGCCTTGATTGGTAAGCTGATGGGGATGAAGTCAAGCATTGTAATGCCCTAGTGGAGAATAGCAAGGATCCCATCTCTGAAATCTTTCCCAAGGCACAGCAATCAGTTTTGACCCTATTCTTGAAGAGTGGTAAATGAAGTGAAGCAATATGATTGTTTGTAGGTTTGTAGGTTTTGTTTGTAACATGTTTTAGGTTTTGAGATATGAATAATTGCTAGCAGCCTGCAATTCCTCTAGAAAATCAGCAGTAATATTGTTAAATGTGAGGAGGGTTCAAGGTAAATAACATGCTCCTTTGTATTTCTCTGTAGGATTAACAGTGGCAGATCTGGTGTTTCCATGGTAAGTTTTCCTGAAGAATAGTTTTTGTATCAAGTGATTCTTTATATTAAACATTGCAAGTGGAACTTTGTGTGCACCTTGCCTCCATGTGGAAATGTATTTGGAAGGATGAATTTGTGTTAAACAGTCAATAGGACTCTGCCCCTACAAATAACAACATAACCCTTATGAACCTGTAGAAGAGCTAAGTGGTTTTGGTGCCCCACATCCTCCTTCTTCCCACACACAAGGCCCAGGGTTACCCTGCCAGTGGAAGTGCAGTATCCCTGAGAAGCTCAATGCCATGCCACTGTGTTAAAAGCTGCCAGTCTGGCAAGATTCAAAGCTGGACTGGTGTGTATCCATAGATAAAGGAGCCAAATAAATTTTGGATTAAGCTGATATTTCTATAACCAAAGAATGGTCTTACGGAGAAGCAATTATCCCATCTGCCCCTAGCATGCTTCTCTACACCAGCTGTGGTTTCTGTTGGAGTAGGGAGCTGGACTTGGACTGTGAACCTAAGCTAGAGGAGAGGAGTGGGTCAATTCTGAATTTGAATCATAGATTTGAAGCTGGTGTTTGACTGTTCTGAAGATGCTAATTTAATTTTGGGTAATGGATTTTTTGGTATCATGTGAATTGCTGGAAAAAGAGCCGACTGCAATTACAACCCTACCTCAACTGACCACTGAAAAAGGTAGAAGTGTCCCATAGTGCAAGCTCAGTAGCCTGGAAAGTCCTAGCAATCAGAGGAAATAAAATCACCCAGTTTCACTCAGTGCATGCATCTCTGTTGGACCAATGCAGGCCACTCTGCCAGCTTTAGTGTTTGCTGTTACTCATACATGTTATGAGACATCTGTCAGCTCCATTTCCCATCTGCTCTGTTCTCCAGGTTTGTGTTCATCATGGGGACATCAATAGCATTGGCACTGGGCTCCATGCTGAGGTGGGGAAGTTCCAAGTGGAAGATGCTTAGAAAAATCATCTGGAGGAGTTTTGTGCTAATCCTGCTGGGAATCATAGTTGTGAATCCCAATTACTGCCTTGGACCTTGTGAGTGGAACTTGTCTTCCTTGCATTTCTGTAATTTGTTCCTGCCTCCTTGGCTGGGCTGTTGCAAAAACTTTAACAGTTGGATGGTATCTTGTGGAGTGCTGTTCAGTTCTGCACTGATGCAATTCTCTCTGTTAGACTCTTGTGCCAACCACTGTTGATTGTCTTAGTGACTTTCCCAGGACTTTGATGTACAGAAAATTGGGATGGCAGAGGGGAGGTATCCCTTGTACCCGCAGGTGCAGTGGATCTCAGCTCTTCCTGAAGAGGATCACTTTTGTATTTACAACAGAGCCTATGTCTGCTCCTCTTCCACATTGCTTGCATGTCTTCCAGTGTCCTGGGATAATCTGCGTATTCCAGGCGTCCTCCAGAGGCTGGGATTCACATACCTGGTGGTTGCTGCTCTTGAACTCCTATTTACAAGAGCTGATAGTGGGACCTGGGTGAGTTATGTGGGGAGATGACAACTGAACTGATGCTGGAGCAGGGTTTGGGAGCCTTTGCTCTTGTTTGGGCAAAAAGAACACATGAGAAACAACATGAAAACAAGATGTAACATCTTGTTTGATGTGTGGTGCAGTGTGGCCTGGCAGGGGTCAATGCTGGGTATGTGCACCCTTCAGTGTCGCACTCTGCATTTTGTCACATCTAGCTTTACTATATTTGAGGATTTCAACAATCCATTCAGATAGTGCTTAAAAATAGGCATTCCAAGACACTTCTGATGACTTTTTCATTGCCAAGGAAGTCCAGGGACAGGCATCTCTATGCTGAATCCTGTAGTCTGTGTTTTGTCCAGTTAATTTTGGCAAGGATTTTTCACAGCAGGGGAAAGTAATACTGGGTTTTGGCCTTTCTGTTTTCCCAAAAGGCTTTTGTTCTAAGCATGAATCAAAATTCCTTTTGACATTTTCCAAGTTAAAAAACATTAAGGGCTTTTGTTTTGGTTTGTTTCTCCCCCCTGCCCCAAGTAACTAAGTGTCTGGAAATTGCTTGTGAAAATGAAAGGTCTATTGGTGGAACCCAGTTTTGTAATGACATCTCCCTCTTGTATCTGGGGTACAAGACTGCCTGCCAGGAAGTGCAGGTTGTCCCCAAGGGCATGGTTTTTACTTGCCAGCTAACACCCCCTCCCTCCATCTCATGCAGGAAGGACGATTCCCTGCTCTGCAGGATATCCTCCCCTACTGGCCACAGTGGATTTTTATTCTGGTGTTAGAAACAATTTGGCTCTGCCTGACCTTCTTGTTACCAGTGCCAGATTGTCCCAGGTAAGACCGTGCACTCAGACAACTTAATGTGGGGTATCAAGTTGGTTCTCTTCTACTGAGTAGAGGGCACATTTTATTAGCCATAGTGAAAGAATGAAGGGAAGAGCTTTCAGGCCAGCAGGGTTAAAAGAAGCATCCATCATGTGAAAAAACTTTCTTTACTTTGGTACTAAAGTACCAGATGTTATATGATGTCACTCTTCCTTTCTATTTATTTTAAGAAGAGGACTAAAATCTCCCTCAGGTCTGTGTGCAGCAATATATGATCACTGCAGTGCCATCAATGTGTGCCTCTAGCCTGGGAAAACAGAGCATTTAGTGTGCTGGGTCAGTGGGCCAGTGGCTGTGCAGCTGAACTGTAACAACATTTTGTGCTACAACCTCTCTACCTCTGTCCTAGGGGCTATCTTGGTCCTGGGGGCATTGGGGACTTTGGAAAGTATCCCAACTGCACTGGAGGAGCAGCTGGTTACATTGACCGTTTGCTTCTAGGAGAAAAGCATATGTATCAGCATCCCTCTTCAGGTGTAAGTAGTTTCTGGTTTGCAGTATGTCAGGAGTGGCTTGGGAATGATACGTGCAGGGGATTTAAAAGAAAGGAGTTTGGTTGCTTGGGTGCTCTGTAACAGATGTGTTCTCTCAAAGGTGATTTACCAATCAACGATGCCGTATGATCCTGAAGGGATCCTGGGGACCATAAATAGCATTGTTATGGCATTTTTGGGACTGCAGGTACCTCATTTTCTTTCTGGCTGCATGCTATAATGGGAAGATTTGAAGGAAACTTGGAAGTGGGGAGGCAACTGGGTTTCTTTACTTAAGGCTGAGACTGGTTCTAACAAAACCTTTTTCAGAACAATGCTTTCGCAATGGCTTAGCCTGAGGTGAGTGCCAGAGAAGTGGAAGCTAACATAGCAGCAGCTTGCATTAGATACACTGAGACTTCTCAGTTTTTGTAAGGGATGGACACAAGAAGCTTGCAAAATAGCCACCTGGTATTCCAAGGCTGGGCTTATGCTGGGAGTAGGCTGGCTCTGCATGTTGGAAAATAAGGCTGAGACACACAAACTTCACAGCTTCATTGTAAGGGTTTCAAAAGTTGCCGACGTACTTGCTCCCCCTTGCTGATTTTCCGCTTGTCGTGCAGTGATAACTATCTTGCACAGGTGCTGTGTGCTCACCTTCCCTGACAAGAGAGATGCAGGGCTTCATACTGGTGTTACCAACACCAAAAGCTCACAGCTCACAACTGCTTATAAGTACTGCACTTTTTGATGCAGTTTTGACACACTGCTGGTTTTTCTGATGGTCCAGCAGCTGTGAACCAAACTGGAACTCTTGTGCTGGGAAAAAAATGTTACCACATGTAGCACTGGGTAAAAATTGATTGGGAATATCTGTGAGGCAGAGCTTGGAAGAGAAGTGTGACACTGAGGAGTGAATTATCAGGACACGTTGCTTAGTGGTGTATGAAAAGAAGCATGTGCTCTGGGCGGGTCAGGGATGCTGTGGAGAAGCTCTTGGGGCTCGCTCTGGTGGTGTTCCTTACCAAGGGAGAGGGAGCTCAACTTATGTTGTGTTGACCAAATAAAGATGCTTGTCCCCTTCCTCAGTTAATAGTAAGAAAGGGAGAAAAGGTGCACCTCTACTGCTGATTGGGTTGCATTTGCATACTTTCCCCTTGTGTGTCCATTCTTTACAAAGAGTCCTCATTTTGAGCCTTTCAACCACCTGGCTGATAGAAATCCCATTTGTGGTCTCTATCTTAGCACAGGTAGCTGGTGGAAAATATATCTGGCTCTTGAAATGTGGTTACATTAATGGGCATTAATTATTTTTTTGTAATTTTTTTATAAGGCAGGAAAAATTACTTTGTTCTACAAAGACCAGCCGAAACAAATTATGAGTCGGTTCATCATATGGGGCATAGTAATGGTAAGTCTGATAGTTATGTAGCTCTTTAAAAGACATGTATTTTAATGCAATGCAAATATTTCTGAAACATGCTGCAGTGGTTATATAAACTTTACTTTCTATTTCAGGGAGTTATTTCTGCTATCTTGACAAAATGTTCTAAAGAAGAAGGGTTTATTCCCATAAACAAGAACTTATGGTAAGCAAAGAGATGGAACACTTCATATGATTTTGTTAAAGTACTATTTTAGCTTAGGGAATGTTTTATCTTTTGTACATTGAGATCTGTATCACACAGTTCTCTAAATATTACTCTTTCTACTGAAAATGTTTGTAGGTCAATATCATATGTGACAACCATGAGCTGTTTTGCCTTCATCCTATTACTGCTGATATATTACCTTGTGGATGTCAAGAAATGGTGGTCAGGTGCTCCATTTTTATACCCAGGTCAGTAAAACACATCAGGAGACATATTCCTTATGATTCTTTCTGCACTGATACTATTCTTTTGTTTTCTTCGCTTCCATTGTCTGTAAGAAAGTAGGGATTTAGACTGAGGTAACCTGAAGGATTCCAGAATGATTGAGTGGAACCTTTACATAGAACTGGGACACTTGAGACCAGATATTTAGGAGAGAGGGACAATAAATTCTTTAAATGAGGGCTAAAAGCTGCTATTGCCTAATGACTGTTCTGAGTTTGGTATCAAGTCAAGGTCTCAGTGAACAGCTGCCTAGTACCAAGCAAAATACCACAGCTGTTCAAAGTTGGTTTTGGAAGGGACTGCTGAGACTTGTGTAACCTAATGGGAAACTCAAAGGCCTGTCAACAGAGTAATACCACTTCTGAAGATGTGGAAGACTAAATCCCCTGGGCAGCTGTGTAGGTTGTGTCTCTGTGATTTTAGATAAGCATGTTTCCCAAAGTATGCCACTGTGGTTTGAACCACACTGGGCACACAACAAACATGAGTAGAGAATGCAAAGCCACAGCAGAGGGGACCTTTCAGCAACTTTGGTCCCTGTTGTCTGGGTAGGAAAATAGGCAGGTTGACAGCAGGGTATCTTACCTCCTACCAGAAACCCCAGAGCTTTGAAGGGCAGTCAGCATTTGTTTGTAAAGGCAGCAGATCTGACCAGATTGGTTGGCACTCATCCACTCTGAAAACAGTAACTGTTATTATTCTCCTTATTAATATCATTGCAGCATACTGATTTGGTTGTATTTTCAATTTAGCACAGAGATTATTTGTATTTCTTTTAATAAATGTTTTGGGGGAGAGAACCCCTCAGACTGTATTTGAAAACAGTGTGTAGCATCTTTGGGGCAAATGACATTAGCTGTCGTTGTCTTGGTGCCACTCTCTTTTATAAGCCTGGCACACCTCTGCCTGCTTGCTCTGAAGCAAGCCCATACCTGCTCTTTCAGATGGTATAACCTGTGCTTCCTTTCAGGAATGAATTCAATCCTGGTATACATTGGACACCAAGTGTTTGCAAACTACTTCCCTTTTAAGTGGAAGATGCAAGACAGTCAATCCCACGCAGAGCATCTGACTCAAAACCTCACTGCAACAACTCTTTGGGTCATAATATCATACATACTTTACAGGAAAAGGATATTCTGGAAAATCTGATAGAGGTGGTCAAGGTCTAGCAGGCCTAGATTCTGACGAGGCAAGTCGATTAGCCTGGAATATGATGGATTAGCCTGAAATATTGCCACTCAGGCTGTATTACTAAAAAGGGATACTAGTTCAAGTTTACAGTGCCATCATCAAGACTTTTATGTGACTTAAGGGACAGTATTTTCCTATTTAACAAAAACTTACTAGTCTATTACAGTTGCTCTCTGTTTTCCATCTTTTGTAAATATTTTACTGATTTCCCTCTTTCATATAGAGAAGCTGAACATACCCTAACAGTTGGGCAGCCTAAGACACCCTGATGGTGTTCATGAAAGGAACTGCAAGGGATGGGGGATAGTGACTGCAAGGAGTTGTCAGAAAGGGCCTGTGGTAACAGTCCCTGCATGTGACACAGAACTCCCTAACTCAGGTGGTCTGGGGTTTGTATATATCCTTGGCACCTCTTGCATGCCTGTCCCCTCTGGCTACTGGCACACATTTAACTTGGCCAGTGACCATCTGGGAAAGCTTGGGGGCACCTTTGTGTCACAGCCTGGTGGTGCTCTCAGCTGATCATGCTTCATTGTATTTTTCCCATTTATTCAACCAAACCCTTAGGTTTAGGATCCTGCTGAAGCCCAAAATCTCTTCTATTGGCTTATTAATCAGCAGGCTGCTCCTACAGGTTTAGCAGCCCATCTGTGCATGTTCTGGGCCTTTGTGTAACACACCTCTTGCATGGCTGAGGTCCAAGTTTCATGTGCTACACTCTAGGAGTGCAGAAAGGCCATTTCCTACTGACTTTGCATAATCACTTGGGTATTACCAAATTTCAATCAAAACAATCCTCTTTCTACATGAATTTACTTAAGGACCCCGAATCTGAAAACCAGCAATATAGGTAGAATTCTGCAGACAAGAAGACCTAACAGATCAATTCAATGTAAGATAACAGTTTTTGGAGATTCAGGAAATTCACTCATGCTGTGATTTCCAAACTAGTGCTAATAAAAAACCTGAAATAACTTGCTATTTTCTCTGTGTATGTGCAAAGATAAAAAGAACTATGACAGACACCTTAGTATAATGCTATGGAAAAAAACCCCAAAACAAATAGGATATTACAAAGACTTCTTAAACAATGTTTTATTTATAAAGTTTGATCTACTCACATAAGAAATCAAGCAGTGCAGAACCTGTAACTTACAGGGAACTTCTTGACCCTCTGAACAAGAGATTTTCCACTGCTATGCTGCTTGTTCATACAAAGAGCCTTCCCCTCTCTCCATAAAAGACACTGCATCAGGATCCAGTCCGTTCAAGCAAGAGTCTGCAGCAGCAGTATTTTCTCATTAATGCAGAACCTGTGCAAGACCACCATGAGATTTTCCCCACAGCGCGAGACCTGGCGCTCCATGGCCAGGCGGAAATCCTCCTTCACTCCTTTCGTTATACCCCGGGTAACTGTGTGGTGCCTTAAGCCGTGGAGGAAAAGAGAAACAGACAACATCAAATCATGGTTATCTAGTGAACTACAGGCTTTTAAAAGGTACTGTGTGTCACCTACTATATATTTATGGTCCATAGCTGAGTTTATTTAATGAGAGTCAAAGAGCCTGAGCTATGCTATTTTTTAAAAATCATGTTTAGTAGGTTACAAGTCTTTCAACAATTAGAAGCTGCAAAAAAAATCTATGTTCTCACTGCTTTGACTATGACTGCTGAAGGGGGAAATAATGTCAATCTTCTGGATAACAGGAAAATCTATTCTCTTAACCCAGCAAGTACAGAGTTCTCCTTGCTTGGGGAAAGGAATTTTTTTCCCACTCTACCTTTGCTGCCTAGGCCACTTCTTCCCTGCAATCACCTCTATAAATGGTTGGGGTTGAAAGAAGAGTGAAAAGATGAACTTTCTTTCTCTGGAGCACAGGTGCCACCATAAAGAGCAGAGGGCATCTTCTATCAATATCAAAGTGCAGGAAGGAGCTTTATAACCCTGTGGGCACTGATAATGCTGTGGCTAGTGAAGGGCACAGTGAGCACTTCACAAAACCCAAATCATGCCAGGCTGCATCAGTAGAAGCCAGCTCTTATGAAGATACTAGACACCAGGCAAGGGGTTACATTTATTCTGAACACAAGTTCAGGACTTACTTTCAAACAGAACAAAGGTTCAGCTACTGAGAAAGCTAAAGCAGTGCTGGCTGGGGAAACTTATGGGATATTGCTCTGTTAAAGGCCATTTTTATGAACAATTCATTGTCCTCATGCTGGCCTCAACACCTAAATCTTGTCCTTAAAACAATGTTCTGCAGCACCAAAGCACTTTACTTGCACAGGTCCAGAATTGGGTAAGTAAGATCAAGATTTTGTAACATCTACCTGCAAGCCCTACTTGGGAAGGGGAGAAAAAGACATGCCCTGAAATGAGAACCTTAACACTACTGAAGGAACCAACATAAATTAATTTAGAGAGAAAAGCATAATGCTAATGCTGAGATGAGTCCTGAGTCACGGGTAAGAAGGGAATAGCTGGTCCAAACCCAGCAAGCCCACTGAAAGATGGAAAGAAAATAAAAAATAAAGGGTGAGGGCATCTGTGCCCATCCAGAGATGCTGGGAACAAGGAAGGGAAACATCTCAGACTTACCAACAATACCACACAACTTTCATGTAAGTCTGGCATTTGAGAAGAGACTTCTCTGCCAAAACAGTAGAGACCTTTGCAACACATGGAAAAGGCAAAGCCTACTGGGCAATTCCTTGGTGAGCTATGCTAAGCAAATCCTTGGTGAGCTATGCTAAGCAAACCTAAACTGAAGACACTACAGTATATTCAGAGGCTATGGGATAAGTCCTGTTTTCAGTCTTTACTGTCTTAAACATTGCTGGCAGCTGAGTGCTACAGTCAGTTACAGCCTAAAGGAGAATATGCAACCTACAGCTACTGAGCAAGCCAGCAGCACTTTAGAGGATGAGTTATATTACAGCTGGAAAACATAAAACAGAATTCAGAACAACCTAAATGAAGAAAAGTTGCTACAAATGGATCCAGGAACCAGTATCTTGAAAATAAAGGGTTATGCTCTCGCTAATATATGATGGAACATCAGTAAAACTTTTGAGGATTTCTACATTATTGTTTAAATTCAATAGCCATTACTAAATTGAAAGGACACAGATACTGGCAACTTATGGGAAAAAGAAAAATAAATGTTATTATAGAACAACATGGTTTGCCAGGCAATGTAGGCACAAATGAAGAAATAAAAAAAAAAGATAAATATTGAGTAACAAATTGCTGAAAACCATGGGCAGTAAAACATGTTGACAAAACACAGCACACTATGAGCAGGGTTTTTCCACTTGGTACCTGTCAGCAGTCTGTATGCTGGGCTGTAGCACAGGTATGAATTCCTGCTGAAGTAACCCCATGGGAGGGCTAGAGGTCCTTTAAAAAACAGCAAATAGCAGCATTCAAACACCCACACACCAACTCCCCCTCTGGTGCAAAACAACTCTCCAAAAAAGGAGTAACAGAAAACTAGGGTGAGCTCACGCCGAGCAGCCAAAGGGGTGCAGGACTCTAACAGCATCAAGCATGCAAATATCTCCAGATTTCATTGCAAGACTGTTCTACAGCTGTGGTCTAAATATATACACAAATTTTTGGACAGTTACACCAGGAGAAAGGACAGCAGCAGGTGCAAAACCAATACACAGTTGTACTACGATGAACTGTCACAGCTCTTCCAAGGAAGCATGTCAGTCAGAAAAGATTTAATCAGAGGAGCACTGCAGATACCACAGCTTCCCTTCAGTACTGGCAAGAGCATGTCAGCAAACTGGGAGAGCCCACAGCTTGGAGCCAAGGGATTGGCTGCTGAGCCCAAGCCGGGTGCATGCACAGCAGGTATCGGCCAGGTTGAGCACATGGCAGTATTTGTTAAAGGTTGCCCAAGTATCTTTTCATTAGCCCACAGATGGACTGTTCCACCTTTACAAATTCTAACTGCATATAAAAACAGCTCTTAGAGCATGGTACAATGCCCGAGCACAAATGCCTGCTCAAAGCAACCTCCTATTTATGACCAGGGCTACAGGAACTAACCACCAAAAGCTGTCTCAGCTGAAAGACTGTCTTCTCCAGGAAATTACATTTTTATCTCTGTGTGCTATCTAGAACAAGATAATAACCTAACAGGTTCAGTCTAGAGCAATACCCCGCTTCAGGAGAAGAGAAAGGAGAAATCTGGTATATAGGAGAGTGGTTTAGCTTCTTAATCTAAGTCTCTTATATCACCTAAATTTTAATAGGTACCTGAGAAGTGAGTGCACCATTCACCCCCAGAAATGCTATGAAGGGAGCAGAGAAGCAAAACTCACACTTAGATTCCTGTAATTCTGAGTTAAGTGCCTACCTTCAGATCTCACAGGTGGGCATTTGGGTTAGCATCTCTGGTTTATTGATAGATACAGAGCTTATAGAAGTCAAATAAAGATGAGACATTTAACACTCTAATACAGCTACAATGATCTGAAATAAAATAGCCACAAAAATTATTCCACCAAATGAGGTAATTTTTCAAGAGTTCTTGGCATGAGTAAGTTCAGTACTTGCAAAAACGGACATGGGAAATAGAAAATACAAAGGACCAGCAAGATGTTATTGGTCCCAGAGTGGCAGATGTTTGCAAAAGGAATTCTGTGCAATTGTGTCTTCACTACTGTTTGCAAGATCTGCAGTCAGAACTAAGCATACCCATGTGCACAGAGTAAAAATTACACTTTCAATATACTTTGTTTCACTTCAAAGCAACTTCCACAATCCCCAAGGAGAGAGAGATGTGATGGGAATATGAGTAAAAGGAAGGACATAGCTTTCTGATGAAGTTTATGCCATTAGGTAGGCTATGATTAGATTAATTAGACAAAGATTTATCAAAAACAGGAGCAAGATATTAAGCAGCAATAAAGAGGAAAAGAGCAAATATTGCTCTTTTCCTCTTTAGCCTCACCAGCTAACACTGCCCCTACTGACATGAATATCAGATAAACTGTGAAACTTGGCTTTTCTAGAAGGGAGTTCAAAAGCACTTAATGGTGCTGGATTCAAAGCTCATAAAACAAATCTTGTTGACACCACAAACAGAATGAGCTGGCTGTATCACCAGTTAAAACCAAAACCATGGACCTTCTCATTCCCACAGTAGATGCAAGCAAAGGGAAATATTTTACAGAACCTAATTATAAGTCTGTAGACTACAAAGATCTTACTTCATCTTTTGTAAAAGTACACTGCAGTTTGCTCTACTGACTTCAGAAAAAAATATAATTTCCTATGAAGTATAAAGTACTTAGAATAAAGTACTGGAAGAAGAATGAGGAATTCACCTGGGGAGAACATGCCCTGTCAGTCATCAAACAGCAGTCCTTATAAAAGACATATATTATCTGCAATACATTTCCCAACCATTAAGATGCAGGATTACTACATTTATGCTGAGAAAAGATCAGACAAAGGAACAACTGCTTTATCTTTGGCCTGTTGTGTTGAACTCAGAGTCTTTCTGAGCATGAATGAACAGCATCTGAGCTGCTGTTTTATGGGAGGATGGTGCAGCAGCTCATCCAACCAGAACTGGTGATAGTTTTGAAAGATGTAAGCAGTCTGCAGATACTGAGCCTACCACCCATTGTCCCAGGAAACAGGGCTACACTGGCACACTTTAGCAAAAACCCAGCTGGGGGAGGCTGTGAGCTAACCAGGTCAACACTGGTGAGGGACACCAGCCCTGGGCCTCACAGCCAGTCCAGCTAAAAAAACATCTGCAGTACCAGGGGAGTAGACATCATCTCTGATCAGTGGCTTATGGCCTCAGCTATCCCTTCCATGGGCTCTCTGGTGAAGTGCTTCCAGTCCTACACAGCCACATGAAACGTTGTACACAGCTTTTCCAGCTGGACAGGATATTTAACTGTTCTGGCTCAGTGAGCACAAAGAAATGGACTTCTCTTCTACAAGCCTTTTCGTCATTGAGAAAACATCACAGATCAAAAGGAGGTCAAAGAGAGATTCTGTCCTGCTAGAAACACTTCTCCTACCTCCTTCCTGACCGAGGGGGTCAGAACAGAAAGTGACTGTGGCCACGCCAATCAAACAGAGCCAAGAGAAACAGCGCTGACCTACTGCAACGAAATGGAGACAGCAGGTAAAAGTTACCAGATGGAGTCTTCAGTGCTAAGCCCTCTTGCTGGCACAGCTTATTACTTAACAGCCTATGTGGTGCAGCATGCCCTGAAGCTTGTTTTCATACAGCTGGTTACAAGCAGTGAGATATGGCAAGGGGAAGAGTTTGAAAACCTAGAGCTTAAAAAAGAAAATTCTCCATCACATAATTAAGCATTTGAATTTCTACTTTTCCTTTAATTACACCTAGTATCTCATTTTTGTGTTGGTTACCTAGATCTCTGAAAAATCTATTTACTAGTTAAAATTTGGATCCCATTGTCTGATGTTAGGCTCTCATTTTGAAAACTTCAGCCTATTTCTGGTTAGTGAACAGACAGAATACACTGATCGTAAGTGGAATTTCAACAAACTTTAAGCAGTCCCCCTTTTAGGAAGCAAAATACTACAAGTTCTCATAAACAACCAGGATACTCCAAAACATTATGTCACTAAAACCCTGCAGCAGATAGTTTTGAGTCAAGACTGAACAAGTAAAAACACCTAGGAAGTTAATCCAAATTATTAATTTACTTCAGCATCTTGTAATAAGCTAAGCAGAATAAGATGACCTGCTAATTCTAACAGACAGATTACTGGAGTGTAGCTGGAATGTAATTGAATTTGTATTTTTACTCAAAGTTTTCATCATTCAGTGGTCTTTCATAAATTTTGTTTACAAAAATAAGCAAAATAGTGCTTCTTGCTCAGCATTACTCTTCAGCAAAATTAGTAACAACACCTTGCACTCATGCCTAATTACTTGAAGAATTCCTGCAAAGTGCAAGTGTCTACTTGAAAGAGCACAACTGTAATCACTTGAATAGCAATCACTCTAAAGCAAATGCCACACTCAGAAATAAAGTCCTGTAAAAGGAGGAATTAAAGCTGAAGAACCCCCCCCCCCACCAAAAGAATACATAGATCAGCAGGAGTCAGAAAAAGAAACTCACGGCCTTGTTTGAACTCATTAAATTTAAGCTCAAAGACATGACAAACTATCCAGAAGATAACATGAAAGCAAAGACAACCAGAACATACTCCCTTTTTTTTTTGCCAAAGAAAACAGTAAATGCTTTTTTATCCTTACTTGATCAACATTGCTTGATTTGGCAGGAGTTCCAGATGAATTTTCCCTCCTTCCTGTGTTCTTAAATAAGCAAATTCCTCCAACATATCAATATCTGAAGAAAACGTTAAAGATTTGAGTAGGGAAATGACGATTGAGAACATTCTTTCTTATGCCTCCCATCTGAAGCCACATTGCTGAAAGGAGAGTCAAACTAAAAAGCTATTGAAGTACCTCATTATTAAAAGTGATAGAGAAGATCACAGCATGTGTTCCTAATCCTCCACAAACTGATGAGAAATGGCTTTTCAAAGTGAAGATCACATCCGTTAGTTTCTTTTCTTTCTTTATTTCTTCTTATGTAGTCAGAGGTAAAGAAGGCTGATCTCAAAATTCCCTGGGTTTCACTTCCTTTTCCTGCACTCCAGGTTATGAAAGCAGTGCAAACTGAGGCAGCATCTGAAGCAAGTGCCACCACAGTGGCACATTATCACCCTTTTTAGTTTTCTACTTTGATCCCTTATTTAGCTGCTTGCTTTGTGTGGGTTTTTTTCCCTTTCCTTTGACACCACAGCTTATTTAGTTGTCACAGACAGGAGTTAGACCCCCCCTGCTTCCTGAGGCCCATGGCTGGATGTCTATTTAGGTTAAACATGAAACTGTCCATTTGTGTGTACGATGGTCAAAATTTATGTCAGATATCTGAATAGATAAATCAGACATGCTTTGCATGATCTTTGACATAGCTCATTATCTTACTCAACCCACACATGTTACCCGCAGCAAGCACTTCACAAACAAGAGCCAAAATCATTCAGCTCTGCAGCACAGGTACCACTTTGTCTTTTTTGTTAACAGCCTTGTACATAATGCCCTGTATTTCTTAATGAAGAGATTGCTGTCACTTGCATGAGCAGCCTGAGCTCCTGCTGTTTTCCTGAGTGGAAATGCCATGGCAGTGTACTTAAGGGTACTCTCATGTGCCAGGGCACAGGAGGCATATTTACAGTCCATTGTGTACTGAGCCTACTACAAGAGGTTTTCTTGGAATGAAAATAAATACAGAATATGTTTCAGAGAAAGAGCTGCTGTGGAAACTAACAGCTTTTTCAACACTACAGCACAGGATGTGAAAGACATTCTTGGTTAGAGAAAGGATACTTGTGACATAGTTGAAAAAATTCTCATACTGGAAGTTTCCTTGCTGGCAGATTTTGTTGATGGCTTTCAGGAACAAGTTCTCACCCCTCGGCCACTCATGCTGGAGCAGAACAACTACATGGCCCAGGGCCATATCATCTCTGCTGTCTGTGAAAGCTCTGAGCTTCAGGGAAAAAAATTACATTCAGACAATCAGGAAATACATGTTGCTTTCAAAAACATATAGGATTTATCTCATCTAGATCTGTGCAAATAGAGAAGTTCTTTAAAAGTATATATTAGGGCAGAATGAAATACACTTCTGAAGTAGGCTGGAAATTTCCAGCTAAAATACCAAATCCTCTCCCACTGACCTATAAGAGAAGTCTGAACAGTGACAAAAATTTTGAGATCTTGTGAATCTTCTCTGCTCAAAAATTAAACAAATAGAGAAAAAAAGAGAAAACAAACCCTCCTCCATCAAAACTCCACTCCCCTCTCCAAAAGAAGACACTCCCCATACCTACTTAGGTAAGAAGGATTGAGGCACAGCCCTGGGATATGGCCATGCAGTTTCAGGATATATAAACTAGGCCTTAAGGACAAGAAAGCTCCAATTACCTTGGAGCTATCTTACCTTGAAACAAGCTAACAACAGATGAAGGCAGTAAGGCATGATAGCTCTACTGGTACATGGCCAAAGTTTCAAATCAGACCCTGCAACAGAACAGTTCTTTAGGGGTCTCACAATAGGTGGGTTGAAAGAAATTTAAATAGAGCAAAACAAATCCAAAATTACCACATCTCAGGTAGGGAGGAAAGCTTTAAATGTAAATTATGACTGATTCAAAATGTGAAGTGAAACATTTAAATTTTTCTTCTTCACTTCTCTTTTCCTGAGGTAGGACTTTGCCACCGATATACTTTAAAAGGTACAAGCAAGAAAACCTCAATACAAAACCAAAAGAAAATAAAAAACTTCCTCCCTTTTCATAATACAAAAATTCAGCTGACATTGAGTTTAGGGTAATAGCAACTCCATACCTTTCCTGAATTTTGACTTGACTTTAGGTTGCTCCTCTTGTACTTTACCTCCTTCTTGTATTGGAAGTAAAATACAGCACATGAGGTCAAGCACTTTTTCGCACGTTTGCTGTAAAAGAAGGGACATGATAATGCTAAATTTAAATTCAAATTCTTAAATATTCAGATATGTTAATAACAATAAAAAATTTCAGACACCACAAAAGTACAAAACAATCCCAAAATTCTTTGCTAGAACTTCAGTTGACTTAATACACAGTACAGTCTGGCTAAGCAAAAAGATTCAGCTGTCACTAAACAACCTCTGAGAGCCTACATAACATCACTTTAATTGTGAAAAAATTGTATTGGCATTCTTCATTTCAGGAGGATAAGATCAATAAAACTGCAATCAAAAATTCTTTTGTTTTGAAGGATCAAGTTTTTAAATGAATTATTAAAACAGTTTTGTAAAATTTATTTTGTTCATGGTAAAAATAGAAAGGAAAATGGCAATCTGACAGCATGATGGAAATTCAATGAATTTTTCATGCTATTTCCTAGCAAGGAGTCTGTGGGAATATATGGTCACATTTCCAGTGAAAAAGTATTAAAGGGGAAGGGACAAAAGCACTTGTCCAGCAGTACCAGGATGAGGTAGATCCTTAGAGACAGAGCCTTTATTGTCAGTGCTGACTCTGACTGACCTCAGACCATCACACACTCCTGCAATATTAAAAATTGCAAACAAAACATCTATTGCAAAAGTAGAGCAAGTTCAGAGGTCAGGCCAGATAATATTGTTCTGGTATCTCTCATATCGTCAGCTAATAACTAACTTTCTTTTAAGATGATCACAGAAGTTCCTTTACTTTTTCTTTCTCCTGCCACATGAAGCCTGTACCTAAAAGAATTCCCCCTCAGTTTAAGGAACTAATTCAGTAAAGTTAAGAAATTCAAATTAAGGATACATTTACAGACAACTGAAACACATGTAGCCACAAAAAATCATAACTAACCCTCCAAATCTTCTCTATCAAAAAGACTATACACATAAAGAGTGGCTAATGGACAGTCAGTTAATGTGGCACAAAGTATAATTCTCCCAGTACAGCATGGATTTTTCAGTAGACCCTGGCTTATGTTTGATATGCTGCTGAAAGCAGGCTCACAGGAAAATTCTAAGGGAAAAGAGAAATGGGAAGCACAGGGCCAGCTGCTGAAGGCCCAGGTGTGGAATGCTGTACGTACCCGATATTCTCCAAGGGCAAAGTGGCACGATGCTAACTGGATCAGTGCTCTCTGGTTTTCTAAAGATCCTTGTCCTGTAATTTGCTGGGGAGAATGAGAGCCCTGAAGAGCGGCCAAGTGATGTAGGCTGCTAATTGCTTTTTTGTACTGCCCCTTTGAAAAAGAGTATTAAAAAAAACCTGTTAGGGTCTTTTCTATACAATAAGTAGAAACACAGAGAAAAAAATATCTTACGGAAAGCTTTCAAAATGGTTTGTGTCCAAGCCTTCAAAATTTTAATCAAAACTAGTAATCTCCAGTGATGACTTGCATACAAGACTGTGTGTGGGGTCAATCATTTACAAGGCAGTCAGAAGGCAAACAAAATTCTGCTTTAAAAAGTCAGTTTACAAAGTCATATGTGTAACTGAATCAAATAATTATATTCTTGAACTAATCATTACTTTATTTAGACTAATAAAGTTTGAAATAGCTCTTGTTCAGGCACAAGTAGAGGCAAAAATAAAAGACTCACAAAGGAAAAATAAAGAACAAGCTTTCTTCTGTAGATGGTATTGGAATGAGCACAGTCATCCTAATTTTTGTGGAGAACATAGATGTTTTTCCACATGCCAAAATTAGCTGGACTCAAACAACAGCTACTGGGACAGGACCATCCAAAGCAGGGTACCAAGCTTGTGGTGCAAACAGTGTAGCTCTATCCCCAGAGGAGTCTTACTTTAAGGCATAAAATCAGTAGACACTATAAGCAGTCAAACTGGCTAATCAGAGTTACTATTTACAAGAAAGAAGTAAATTGCTTTTACTAGAAGGAAGAGCAACACAAGGATGGTGTTTTTCCTAGTTTATAGCATATTTTTTTTACCTGGTAGATGATCATGTCTGTAAGAAAGATTCTTAACCAAAGCCAGGTTTCTGTCTTCCATGACAAACAAATTCTGGTGAACTCTGTGTTACATGATTAGAGAAGAAAAAACCAAAGAGAATATGAAACGGTTCACAGCTTTGGGTTAAACATTAAAAAAAAAAAAATTATATATATATATATATATAACTGAATTTAAGAATGGAAAAAATGGCACCAAAACAGTAAGAGGATGAAATCCTTCACATATAGGATATTCTCTTCCTATACACTCATTCTTTGATTATGCTTCTCTTTACCATGTGCAAGAAACCTAAAAGCAGCTAGGTGGTACTGTTTGCCTGCTTTTTAGGAGAGAAATTCTTTTCAAGTTTATCACACCAGTTATTATCAGAAAGGGAGACACAGTAAAAACACATGTTCTTAATCATGAACTAAAGCAGCACATCCTCACTGAGCATTATCAGCCCTACTACTGACCAACTGCTCCAAGAGAAGTAGGGGTGAATGAGCAAAGATGCATCAAGAATGAAATGCAATACAGCAACGAAATATTTAGAAATGCAATGACTGATAAAGCTTCTTACTGGAACTTCTATCAGAAGTACTCAGGACACAAGGCAATTTAGATTTTAAGGATTCATAATGGCAGGAACTCCATTTTAACAATAAAAAAAGTGATTTCTATGCAGAGCAATGAAGTCTAAATGCAGTTACTTTACCTTTGTCAAGTGATTCCAGAGAATAAAGCAGCTCCCAGCTCTCTCTTGCCAGTTTGAAACTCTCTAATACTTCAATGGAGTTTGCAAGATCAGCCTTATTTACTGTAATATGGCGACTTCTTGCCTTCCCAGAAGGATCCTCATCATCTGAGCTCTGCTTAGAAGTCAGTATAAAACACAAAGGTGAACTTCTTAATTTATAATTTCTTCAGGAGTTCCACTGAACACAAGAAAACAATTATGTATAGAGGTGCCACAGTCCTAGTTTAAGTGGCTTTAAGTGATTTTTCACTTAGCTTGTTTTAAGGTTAGATCCATCTGCTTTGCTACCAAGAACTCAGTGGCACAGTGTGATGAGCAGTATCCCAAACAAATTTATTCTGTTTACCACCACTGAGCTTCAGCCAGATTATCTGTTGAAGAACATACACACTTCACACTTTATGACTCAATTTAAACCTACAGTGGCATAATGCAAAGGAAATCCTTGTATTCTCTTTATAGCAGACAAATTCTATAAAATAGTCATTTTCTACCATTAAAGCAATAGATATATTGACAATTTAAATCATGAAAAGTCAATTACTTTGGAAGTTTACCTGTAGAGTATCTGACTGCTATAGCTACTTTTTTAAGTGCCTCTGCTGAACTCCTTTAAAAGTTAAAGCATTCACAGCAGAACATGTGTCTACAGCAATTGCTGCAGAAATTGTTTCATTCTTGCTGGCTTTAGAAAAAAATGTTTGAAAATTGTGGTCATAAACAGCTAATTCAGGGTAGCTCTAAAAATATGTCTTTTACATCTATGTCAAAACCACTGTTGTTTAAATTCCAGTAGCAATGCCATTCTTGTTATGAATTAAAAAGTCTACAAAAGTTACCATTGTTTTTTCTCTTCCTTCAGCAAGTTTCCTTTTCTTGTGTATGTGTTTGTTACGATCAATATCTGTATCACCATAGATGTTGGGTACATCCTCAAGAAGCACCAGTGGAGTTTGGTTTGGAGCATTTGGACCTGGATTTAAAATAAATTAATTAAATTAATAAAAATAAATTAATAATAATAACAATAATAACAAATTAATTCACAATTGCCCTAAACTGATCTGAAAGGTCTTATGCCTACAGCAAGCTGGTTTATTTTTTTTTTTTTCCTTCACAAGTAATGACTATAATGCTACAGACAACAATCCTAAATTAAGTCACTTAAATTGCTTAAACTGTTCTGGTAAAGCTGTGGTTTCCTAAATGCAGCCATACAGTGAAGGTCAGAATGCATTTACCAGACATCACCAGAGTCTGATTGAGAGCTTCAGAGTATTTCTGAATCCCTTTCTTCTGGAGCAGGCACAAAATATACTCAGGCAGCAGGTGCCCTCTGATCAAGCATTATTTGCTTTAAATAAGTACAATTATTCAACAGATGAACTCTGAAGCACAAATGGCTCTGAAGTTAACAGCCACAAATATGGCAAAGCACAACAATATTCTCAAAATATTTCTCATGAGAAACCAAACCAGTATGCTGACAGACAACAACCCCACAAAGAAGTTTGTGTATTTTATGACAAGATTTCCCCAGCAGGATCACTCAGTGTCAGCTTTGTCCCCACCAATTTTAGTAAACAGAATTAAACCTTTAGTTGACTGCCAGAGCTCATCTTCACTCCCAAAAAATAGAAAAGCCTCATTTTGAAACACAGAAAACAATTTCTACTTTCACTGTTGTCACAAAACATCCAGCAGGATCTGGTACCTATTATTTCACACCCCAGTTTTTAAGTTTCACTAGACATAAAATAGGAACAACAGTACTTCTTAATCTCAATCAACATTGATATGTGATCACTAGTGAGACAGCTTTCCTTCCAAAACCATTTTCTCCTGCACAATCAAGCTCCATATAGATGTGCAAAGCTCAGTCAAAGAGAAATGTAAAGGGAAGAAGAATCCTTTAAGCTGTTTTCTCTTTCTGAAATCTCTGTAAGACAGTAGTGCAAACAAGTATTTTCAGTTTGTGTATTTCTTCTATTTGCAGAAAGACAGGAGGCTAAGGTTTCATTCTTTTCATTTGCAAAGAACTAATTTGAGAGTTTAGTAGATGATTCATTTTATCTCTTGACATAAAAAAACTTCTATTAAGCTTTTCCCATCTACTCAAAAGTGATGTGGAAGGAGTTCACTACAACAGAAGCTCCTCTTAGAAGAAACAACCAATTTGGTCTACCTAACAAATACAGGTCAATAAATACAGCCACAATAACCAGGTCAATCAATACCACCATTGAAACTGCACCTACAGCACACTGTGATCACCTCTCCTGTACCATCATGTATTCCACTATGTCAGAATCTCATGTGTGAAAACTGAAAATAGAGCCAAGACATAATGCAGAATATTCATATCTGTTTCTCATTATGAATCTGTTTCATTCATTATGAATGCAAAGTACCACAACTGGGATGCTGGAGGAGTTTCACCATTAGAACCTCAAGAGCTGCGTAGTTTTAACACCTGAGAAGAAAAATATTGGGTTTTTCTTATACTCATACTGACTTAAATTATTGCCAGCTAAGTGCTTTGCTTTCCAAACAAGTATACTCCTCCCAGTACCAGAAGTGCACTGCAGTCTTTATTCCAAAACCTCCAGTCCTAAAACAAAAGAAAATCCACTGTCACACTTGACTGGGGCTGCAGATCTTCTCTTACAGTACTGAAAGTTACACAGGCATACAAAGAGCAGCATTGTGTTTTTCTGTCTGAGCTCTAGAATCAAAGCTAACAGAGTTTTTAATTGTTTTCTAGCAGAGAGTGTTATAAACAAACCCCCAAAAGCATCAGCCCAAATATTAACTCCTCCCAAGACTGGAGGCAGCCTCAAATTATGAGAGGTGTGAATTGCCTCATTCATTTCTCAAGTCTTCAGCAAAGCAGATACAAATTATGTAAGAAAAATGCATTGAAAGTTTTCCCTCAGGAAGCCTCTTGCAAATCCACACACATGAGAAGAGAGTCACAGATCTAATCTTTACAGATGAGGAGACAGCATTTTTCTCAAAGACCATGCTTCCAAAATATGTAGGATTCTACATTTCTACAGTAAGCCCTCCAGAGAGAAGGAGAAAAAATTCTAATGATAGAAAAGATATGAAAGGCACTGAATACCACTGGACTTCCATGCTAAAGCAGAAATGAGTAAAAGATGTCTTGTTAATATGTTCCTGATATCAGAAAATGACAGAGGGTACCAGAAAAGTTGCACAATAGGAACTGCATTCTGTGACTTCAGTATGCATTCTTTTTCTGGTGGTTCAGTCAGAAGATGTGAGCTTTGAAATACTCAATTGTACAACTTAGAAATGAACATTTTCCCTAGCTCTTTACTTTCTTTCTTCTTTACCTTGGAATCAAGCAGCTAAAACTACATGCACACCTGAAGTATCTTCCTGCCCACCATAATCCTTCTTTCTTCTGGACAGAACAAAAACTCGATTCATTAGTTAATTAGCTCCTGTATTTGTTAAAATGACTGTGCTCTTTGCATACCAGTTGCCATGTCGTTTGTCCTCTGAGCTTAGCTATCTACTGACATTGTTCAGCTGATCCCCCAACACACTGTACAGCTGTTTAAAACCCATCATTTGTATTGCCTACTTCCTTACTCAAATGATCATTTGCCCCATGCAGAAAAATGTGATGAAACTTATGATCACAACACACAGAATTAAAATTGTAATTTTAACATGAATCAATAATTGTAGTATTAATAAGTATGAATTACCTATAGTGACAATTGTTATTGTTGCAAGGAATTTCCTATCACATAATTAAGAGCTGAAATTTCCTCTTTGTGTTGCTGTCTATTTCAGTAAGTTCTAAAACAAAATGGAGCTTAGAAAAACTTTCCTCAGCTTCTGGGCCACCCCTGAAAAGTCCAATCAATCCCAAAAGATGCAATCCAAGCAATCTAGCATGTCTGAAATGCAGATGGAGTGGACAGGAAAATGCACAAGTAACACACATATATTAAACACTTAATTTACCAATAATTACTGATTAGGAGTAATGTACAGAACACACCTCAAAGATTATGCTTAAGCTATATAAAGAAAGACAAGTTGGAAGCTTGTGAATGTCAGGAAATCTTTTCCTATTCAGTTTTATTTACTTAATTACAAATTTGTGTGTTTCCAGTGCAAAAATATTTTCACTAATTTTGACTGAAGAAAAGCAGGAAAATGTCAGCTTCAAAGAAACAAAATCAGAGGAGAAATGAAACAAACACAATGCTCATGGAAGAATAGGAATCAACCCTAGGGATGTTTCCCATAACATTTGGTCTGTCCTTTCTCCTTGCTAGACAATCAACTGCTACTGGCCAAGGCTGAAACCACAATGCTAAGCTAGACTGATCTTTGGTCCGATCCACGACACATTTGTTATGAACTGCTGTTGGCAAGCTTAATGACTTGGGAGAATTATGACAAGTCATAACAAATGTAAATGTTGTTTTGTGAGATGACAGTTTCAAAAGACTAATGAGAAAGTATCTTTAAGACACTAGCAATGAACCCACGAAGGGCTCATTACAAAAGTTGAAACATTAGAAACTAACCTTGAAAGAGTGACGGCTGGATGTTGCTGACATACTGAAAAGCATTTTTAAAGAAGACCAACATTGTGGAATACACTACTTGATTCTTGTATTTAATGTGGGCTTCACTATCAAAGTTACTGATGTATCTGCAGAGATCTTTCATTCGATGCAGAATGTCACCGTAACTCCTGAGGGGAAGAGAGAGAACAAGAATTCAGGATGTTACACAGACTCTGCAACTAAAGAAAATAATGCATACTGAATATGAAAATCTCAATGTTTCTGCTGAGGATATCCCCGAGCATCATGTCAGTGGAGGCTGGGAATACATGCTAGTGAAATTTCACAAAACATTTACCATGCTTCTCTTTACTGTGGCACATAGGGAAGGTTACCCCACAGCAATATAGTGCTTATGCTTGACTTTCATCATCAAAAGTTGATTTTAGAGACTAATTTGAAAGTGCTCTCTAGAGCCCCATTTCTGCTTTACATTGTACAGTCTTGAAAGAAAAGCTGCTGTGAACTTACCAAAAATGTTTTTGTGTTAAAACTGTCCTTCAATGAGAATTGTTCTTATTAAGAATCAAAAAGCCAAATTCTCCATGAGGGGAAATACCCAGTAAAGTAGAGTTTTCTTACCTTCTTCCCTTATCCATTTGCCACTCACACCTCATTCCCACCACAGACAGTATTTTAAACAGCCTCTCCCAAGGATCTGTAATCTGGGATGATTTCTCTGTGAGGCCATCTATTACGTATTTCTGAGAGCTGCGCTTGCTTGGAGACATAATATCAGAGGAATCTTGTGAACCTAGGAAAACCAGCACATTTTTCTCTTCATAAAGAAATCAAACAAACTGATGCATTTTCAAGAAGAAGACATGTAAAAATTACATTGGAGCTTTCAGAGTAACCATTCTTTACACAGAAGTCTAAGAGGGAGCAGCAGGCATTTCTGCCTCTTTGTACAAGAGAGCTGACAGGCCAGATAAGGACATCTTGGACATTCTGTCCCACCTCTCATATGCTGAAGCATCATAAGCAGCATGACTAAGTAGCTGAAGCACCATCTTAGTATTTTGGAATCAAAGAACTAAGAAACACTAAATACTACTATTAGTGGTATCCTTGTCTGTGGGATACATTAACATAAAAACAATGCATTTTTTATTTATAGATTTAGATATTTCAGTGATACTAAGACACATTCTAAGAAAGCTTGATTTTGTAAAAATATTCTTACCTTGATATTGACTTTCTGTCTGCGTAGATCTAGTTACGTAATTAATATAAAATTCTGCTGCTTTATTCAGGTATTTATATAACAAGCTGGCAGGAAGTCGTACATCAGGGTTGTTAATTATCAGAGGAAGAACATCACAAACTAAAATGGAAAACAAACAAAAAAATCCTTTAAGTTTGTGGAGTTTTTTGTTCTATTTCTCCTAGGTAAGGTTTCTCCATCAGCAATGGGATGACCATACACCAGAAAGAACCTCACATGAATGGCTCCAGGAGAATTTGTTCCATATGGCCAGTCTGGATTAACATGACCTGAGCCTCTTCTGACTAAAGCAGTTTTCTAATCATAGTATCATGAAAGAAGTTTACTGACCTCAGAACATTGCCATACTAAAAAGTTGTATTGTAAAACAAATACATTAGTATTTTCTTACCAAATAATTTTCTAAAGCAATTCACTGGAGATTCTTGGTCTTCAATACTTTCAGCATCTAATAATGTTTCTCCAAGGCCTACCTGTGTGAGCAGAGGTGACAATCAAACACCGGACCAGTGGTTTCAGAAACTTTTTAAACTGCAATTTAGTGGGGTTGAACAGTAATTCAGTAACAATTCTATGGCAACAGCATGTGCAAGTCTCCAAATATACAGTTAACTATCCACACATAATAGCAGGTGAAAAGCAATGTCAGAAGATAGCAAAACCAGACCAAGAGAAAAACTGTGCATGAAACTGTTTCAATAGAAAGATACACAGACAGGTGAAAGCGATATCTGGCTGATATTCTTTCATTTACAAAAGAAACTATTGTTTTATTTGCTTCCATTTGTATCCTGCCCAATCTCTTCCTGGTGGTAAACTCAAGATATAGCAGTCTGAACTATATGTCACAATCAAACATAAATAAAAAGACCCACCCTCTCATGAAGGAAAACACGTTTCAGCAGAACCTCAAAAAACTGAGTGCCAACATCCTTAATAATCACTGTGAGTTCCCCTTCTCTTACCCCATGTTGCACCACGGTCTCTGGGAAACGCCGCAGAAGGAGAAGGAGCATTTCTGCCCTTTCTAATGTGTTAAAGCACTGCTCTGTTGCCTTCAGGAGCATTTCACACTGCACCCGACCAGGAAGGGTCTCAAATAATCCTTAAAAAAAAAAGAAAACATTTAACTTGTTGTGTCTGAATTGTAAAGATGGCAATATGACAAATAATTGTAAATATGACAAAGCACAAAAGTCAATTGACATCATCCTGCTTTGCTGAACAAAAAGGGATTTCCTTATGCGTTTTCTGCTTTTAACACACATACCTGAAAAAAAGTCTGTTTCTTTCAGAGAAGACCAAATAAATATTTATCTGTAATAGTGTTTATTTGGGTGGAAGGAACTATAATTAACAAGTAAGACTACTAGTAAGTGGAATACTCTAAATCCCAATACTTCAGTATTTGACATTTCAAGATGCTTTCTCAAAACTGGTTATTTATTTTTTTACTTACATTCTACTTCTACAATTAATACTTTCATTACTAAAATGTAGGGTTTTTTCAATTTAAACATCCAGTGAGACACTAAAAAGAAACTCACATGTTCTCCCATGTGTTTTATGTATTTGCTCTAAAAAATAAATACACTCCTTGAAAAATCAAAAGTTTTCTCAACTGGAATATTCTTAGAGCTTCTGAAGCACGTATTCAAACAGCAGATTATAGTTTCTTAGGTGTGAATCCTGCTTTCAGAATTGCCTGTGGTTGCCAGCAGTGAATGCCAAGCCCTTCTGGACACCATTCATTTTTATAACCCTCCCTACATCAACAAGAATTCACTCCATTTTTACAACCATACACTGCACTCTGCAATCTGTGGGATGGTGATTTTTAAGTCCCATTCCACTTATTTCTATTCAATTGCTCTTCTATGTGCTTCTTGTTCTGGCAGAGTAAGCCTACCTGTATCAGAGACAAAGCAATGGGTATCAGCTTGTCATGTCCCTTTGTCTTCCGAAGCCTAACACACCAAATGAAGTCTGTATGAATGAACTGAGGGGAAAAGAACAAACCCTGCAGTCCACAGGCAAAGTTAGAAAAACTGACATTTACTTGTCAAACTAGATAAATAATCAGAGGGCTCATCTTTAGATTACCTCAGGATAGAATCCTTACCTCTTAAAAACTGTGTCTGCTTGTCCTGGGAGTCATTCCTTAATGCTGATGTAATAACACTGATCTCCCTCCACACAGCAGGTTGGTCTGGAAAATTCACAAACCTGTAACAACGTTTAAGGAATGTACAGTGATCTCAAAATCTATCTCAAAGACAAAGCTTTCCCATAAAAGTATGTGTTTGGGCAAAACAGAAAATAAAACATTCCTTTGTTTATTTTTAATTAATTAGACCTTTTGTGCTTAATTTATCCACACAGATTTTCAAAAACTGTACGTTTACATTTTTGGAAATCCTGACATTTATCTGTCCACAGAAGGGCAGTGCAGCTGGTGAAGGGTCTGGAGCACAAGTTCTGTGAGGAGTGGCTGAGGGAGCTGGGGTAGTTTAGCCAGGAGAAAAGGAGTCTCAAGAGTGTCCTTATCACTCTCTGCAGTCCCTGAAAGGAGGCTGTAGCCAGGTGGGGTCAGTCTTTCTCCCAGGCGACCAGTGACAGGAAAAGGGGACATGGTCTTAAGATGCCAGGGAAGGTTTAGGTTGGATATTAGGAGGAATTTCTTCACAGAAAGGGTAATTAGAATTGGACTGGGCTGCCCAGGGAGGTGGTGGAGTCACCCTCCCCAAGGTGTTTAAGGAAAGACTGGATGTGGCACCTGGTGCCATAGTCTAGTTGACAAGGTGGTAGTTTAGTCATAGTCTGGACTCAAATCATCTCGGAGGTCTTTCCCAAACTGATTCCATGAATGGAGCACCTGGGTTGAAAGCAGAGTTCCAGCTCTGATTACTTACATGTCGTAGAGCAGCCTGCCTGCAGACGCTGTCCTCTCAGCATTCCTCTCAATAGTGTACATCTCATACTGCAGCACAAGAACACAACATCAGCTTTCCCAAATATATTTATCAATCACATCAGTCCCTCCACTCTAAAAAACTGCCCTCGATTTACCACAACAGTCTGCATAATAGAAAATAAAAGGACTGCAACATTTGCTGGAGAAATTAGAAGGTGCATTAGACTATTTAATCACATATTGATTTAGACATAAAAATCTTCTCGACAATATACTTAATATTATTAACACTTACAACCTTCTAGTATCTAAAGGAGGCCAACAGAGAAGTCAGAGAAGGACTCTTCATCAGAAGTGCTAGGACAAGTAGTAATGGGTACAAACTGAAAGAAGGGAACTTTATATTATATATAATGACGAAATTCTCTAGTGTGAGAGTGGTGAGACACAGGAACAGGCTGCCCGGAAAAGCCTGTGCGTGCCCCATCGCTGCAAGTGTTCAAGCCCAGGTTGGATGGAGCTTGGAGCAACCTAGTCTAGTGGGAGGTGGCGCTGCCCATGGAAGTGGGGTTGGACCAGACGATCTTTAAACCAACCCTTAACATTCCATGGCGAATACACCGGCTTAATTTTTACACAAACTGAAAACTTGGAATTCAGAGAGTCCTTTGACCAGGGTTTGAACCCAGTCGAATGCAATGCAAATCCATTAAGATTCCACAAAAGCTATAATGAGGAGAGATACTTTAACTAACAGTAGTAGCAATAGTAGTAAAGGGTTTTCTTTGTTTTTTAACCGCGAAGTCACCACGGCACCCAGCAGCCCCGCCCCTCCCGCTCCCATTGGCCGAGCTGCCTGTCAATCAAGCAGGGCCCCAGCGCGGCCGCGCGGGGGAGGGCCGCGCGCCCCGATTCCGAGCGGTGCGACAGCGCTGGCGCTCACTTGGATGTTGAAGTCGGCGGGGTAGAGGCTCCGCGCCGTGATGAGCCAGGCCTTGGCCGCCCACAGGTCCCCCGGCACCAGCTCCCGGGCCCGCTTCACCAGGAACTCACAGTCTCCCTGCGCCGACATCTTGCACCCGGCGCGGCCCGGCTCCGCCCCGGCCGCCGGGCGGCGCGCATGCGCTGCGGCGCTCCCCGAGCCGCGCTGCTTCCGCCCAGCCTGGCGCGCCGCCGGGGAGCGCCGTCACTGGCCCGAGTGTCGGAGCGGGCCCGCGATTGCCGGTCTGCGGGCCCCGAGCGAGCCAAAGCACTGATGTGAGCGGCAGCGAGCGCTGCCCTCCTAAAGCTGGTGTTGCTGCAGGCCAAAGCCCGCTCTGGAAGTCCAAGGCATTGCTGCCTGGGCTAGTGCTTCTCTAAAGTCCACTACTAAAGTCACCACAGGCAAATGGGAAGGAAAAGCAGGAGCTTTCACCACAGATGTGCATCCACCTTTCAGCAGCTTGGAACAGAGTCTTGCTTCTTATAATTAGATTTTAATGTTAGGACGCTTGATTACAAGCATAACCCCTTATGTTACATAGCAGGAGTTCTCTGTTTCTTTCCTTGTCACTTTCTTTGCTCCTTTCAACTAGCGTCTTCCTTTCTGATGTTGCAACAGACCTTACAGACTTTGCACTTGGGGACTTCCACTGATTAAATCCATAAATTACACATCTAAGAGCTATTACAATAATCATTTCAGCAAATAATTTAAGAGACTTGTAACGTCTCTTACAGGTAAAAGGCAAGGTCCTTGCTTTCCTGCTGGGGTGACTGCAGTCATTCAGAGACTGTGGCCATTTGTCACCACAGAGAGGTGACAAAGGCACAGCAGAAAGTCAGTCCCTCATAAAACAGGTGCCTCCTCTTCTCCTGCTCTTGCCGTCAAACTATAAACTGCTGTGGGATGGCACAGGTTCTAAAAAAGGCTTCACAGCCCTGCTATCCCCTGCAAGTGCAGCAATGTTAATCACTGGCTGGTGTGTAGGTCTACCCAGAGCTCTTCTCCATGTCCTTGTTCAGATGTATACAGCCAAATTTGACTGAGTAATAATAATAATAATAATAATAATAATAATAATAATAATAATAATAATATAAGAATTATATAATTGCATTGTGGGACTGAATATGGTAATAAAGTTGTGTATTCTGTCTCTTTGGAAACTGCCCAGCAAGAGCTGATGGGCTAGTTGGGGTTCCCCCTATGCTGCTTGTGAGGCCAGAATCAGGATGCTGCAAGAGTGAAATGGGTGAGCAGGGGATTACCAACAGTTATTTCTGAAAATTAATGGATGTGTGAGGAGTGCCCTGAAAAATTGCTGGTGCAGAATCACCCCTAGCTAGACATCAGCTAGGCAGGGAGATGGAAGTTTTGGAACCAGTTTCACAAAGTGTCCTGAAAGCAAGATTGCTGTATTTAATCCACTAGGCAAGGGGGAATACTTCCAATAAATTAGAAACACCCTTTTATCTTTTTGTTTTCCTTTTGTGTGTGCCTGTGTGTCCTCTGGACACTGGATTTTTTTTTTTTTTCAAATTTCTTTTAAAACTGTAAATAATCTGTTGGGTTTTGTTGTTTTTTTGATTTTTTTTTTCAAATGAAGTACTGCTGTCTCTTGCAGAGAGTTGTTGAATCCTTGCTTCTGCATTCCGAATGCTCCATGTGTTTGCCAGTCCACTCAGCCCCTCCAGGAAAGGAGAAGTTGAGGGTCCACTTTTGTATGGTACAAACAGCATAACTTGACAGAAGAGGACAAGTCTGAAGGGCACAGTCTGGTTGGGGCTTGGAAGAGTTTAAACCTAAGGAAAGACATTCAGGCTGCCCGACCTCTGGACTTTGGAGGTAAAACTGTTTGCTCTGTGATCCTCACATAGATACAAGACAAGCAGCAGGATCAGACTTGCAGGGGATTGGGGCAAGTGATTCCACTGAGCAAGCATGAAACACCACTGATGTTTCATTTGTGGATGGGAGGAAGAGGAGCACTGTGCTTCTTCAGAATATGGGCACTGTGTCCGCAACAGGTGACATCAGACTAGCATTTGAAGGTACTTGGAATATAAACTTGGTTTTCAGCCAGGCTGACAGTTTAGAGCCACTGCTGTTCTAAACTTGAACTACTGATGTGCCGCCAATGGCACTGCATGCTCCTCTCCCATTCCAGGAGCCAGGCATGTAGGTGGTGGTGGGGTTGGGCTAAGCCTGTCAGGGTCTGAAGCTTCCTCTCCACTTACAGTGGCATTCCTGAATTCTTGCCCAGATTGTGCTGTTTGGATTTCCACAGTGCAGGACATGCTGAATCTCAATGTTTTGGCTAGACAATTGGAAGTGCACTCAGGCCTCCTTCCTGCAGGAATACAGGACTCAGCTGAAATACCTACATGAGCCTTGTTTTTCAGGAAGAGGTTTTGTGACCTTCTATAGCAGGAAAGAGGCAGCACTGACCTCAAGGCAGTAGTGAAGCATGATTTTTCCCTGGGAAGATTGTCCCATTTCTTGAGGAAGGCCTGTGAGTAACAGAGATATTTCAGGCAGTGTAGCTGATGCAGCACAGGGATGGATACATGGATACATGATGTGTGCAAAGGTCATATTGTAGACCTTGGTGGTAGTGCTTAAATTCCTTCTGCACCACAAAAGCGAGTCTTCATGAGTCAGGAGAGTGTTTGAAAGGTATTGGGTTGGCACTTGGCGGCGGCAAAGGGCTCTGAATGTCACTCTCCACCTTCCACATTTCTGGATCAGTATAGTTCCAGCAGATAGCATTCCTTCTGTGTTGGATTTCCTGGCTTGCTGCCGTAGGCTGCTGTCACTTACACAGGACTGGAGTATTTATGACAAGCCCTAAGGGTGTGCAGGTTGGGTTTTAGGTATGGGATAAAGTGGTCTATGATGTGGCAGTGCAAATGTTGGGATAAATGCTGTGCTGAGTGGTGAGGGCTTGAATTGATAGCCACTCCTTAGGCCTGGGGAGCAGGAGTTTATGTCTGGCATGGGTAACAAGGAAGCTAAATTTTTGCATAATACTGAAAGGATTTGAAAGGGGTCATCTTCTCAACATCTTCTAAGTGAGGCCTTGGAGAAGACAGTATGTGTTGAACTAGCAGTGTGGTGGAGTCTACACAAAAACTAGGGAACATGCAAAAGGTTTTCTTATTTTGTAGATTTTTTTGTCAATTCTGTGTCCTTTGTGCAGAGGCATTTCTAAAGCTGACATGAGTTGTCTGGGCTTTCAGTCACTCAGAATTCTCAATGTCTTCTTTGTCTCTTGCAGCAGAAGGACACTAAATTGAGATTGGATGACTGGGTGATAGATAAGAAGGGGAAAAAAAACAGAGATTGGGAACCCAAGAGTGGAGCAGCAAGGGATGTGTTGGAACCAATACAGCCCTCTCCATAAAGTGATATCTATTAATGATGTCACAGACAACAATATCATTACAAATGCTTATGTTTTATGTTTCAGCAGATCTGGTAGCTTCTCCCAAAGGGACATAATGGAGATCTTTGACTCTGAAACTGCAGCTGACAGTCAAATCCAAATTATGGCTTCAAAACACTGAAATTGGCCACAGTCCACCTAATTTCTGTAATAGCCTAAGGCAGCTTTTAATAATTGACCTCATTTTCACAGAATCAAAATAGTTTAGGTTGAAAGGGACATCAGGACATCATCTGCTCCAGCCACCTGCTCAACTTGAAAATTAATCTACTTTTATTATACTAAATTAAACAAAAAAATCAATTTCAAGAAAAGAACAAATATTACCAGTTTCCTTCTACTTGCAGTGTGACCCTGATGAGTGGTGGGGAGTCTGGATTTATAGGGGGAAACATTTAGGTAATCTTATGAGCAGATATTATTATTGTGAGAGTGTTAAAATACCTGCCTAGCTTTTAGGTCTGGGGAGCTGAACCAGATTGTAATTATCTTCCACACAGCACAGACAGAATTATTAATTACTCTATTCTCGTGTGGCCAAATCTACACCCATATCACTCCAGTGACACTACAGCTGGGGCTTTGGACACAGTGAGTTGTCTGGTGTTGTGAGAACACAATAAAGCAGCACAATGCTTGGTGCACAAATAGGACCTTGCATTAAATTTATGGGGCTAAAAGCTTAGAAAATGCTGTATTTCACTTCTAAGTTGAAGGTACTTTTTGCAAAAACTTAGTCTGTCATTTATGGAAACACTTTTTAGGAGAGAAATTCATTTTCACCTGGAAGGATTTCAAGAGAAGCTGTTAAACCAGTAATTTTTCCATACAGAAGTTCATAAAGTAGAGAAAGAACACAAATAGAGAGAATTTAGCTCCTGCATATACTTCATTTCCTTCTGCTGCCTTCCCACATATTCAGGCTCATTATGTCCCTGTGGCAACTCCAAAAAATATATAAGTAGAAGAGAAATTCTAAATCAACCAGCTGCATATGTTTGTCCCCACTTTTAATTCTGCAGTCACATTGAAAAGTGCATTCCACAGTTTGTATTTTCCCTTTTCTATTCCTGTCCCTTACCAATGGTATTCTTCCTTGCAAGTTCTTTCTGCGCACATGTTGCAGGCATTCATCGCCTTGTCATTTGGAGTGGCACTCATCTCTAAAAATGTTGCTGTCTGCAACCTCTTTTTGGGAAAGCCATCATGGATTCCCTTTGTAGGCAGAGGAGCCCAGAAGGCAGCTCAGCAGACCAGATGCAGGTTGGAGTAGGTTGAATGCCTTTGCTTAGGTCTCTATGGCTTGTAAAAGGAATGCAGGGCACTGTCCTCACCTGCAGAGATCTGTGTGGCAGTTTCCTGTATGTGGTAATGAGTGTGGCTTTACTAATGTTTAACCAGGTTATTCTGTTCACCTTATGTACATGGGTTCAGCCCCTAAAGATGTCCTCAGTGATGGAGCCATCATTCCTGGGAGGGATGGTTCACTCATTCCATGTAGCTGCAGTCTCTGGTGGCTCTCTGAGCTATCTGCATTACACACAAAGCTAGGCAGCAGCATGTGACTACTGATTTCCTTTAGTCAGAAAGCACTGCTGGGGCTGCAATGTCCCAGTGGAATTGCATTAGAGGTTTCCTCTCTAAGTACTGTGCCTTTCAGGA